TACGCCGTCATGCTTGTTGGGACAATGATCGTCATCCACATGGCACACTGAGACATTCAAAGAGTTGTAAGTAAAATATGATCAGCATTAGAAAATGGAGAAAAGAGACATAAAGGCCAGACTTGCTTCTAAATACATAAGTGATACTTTTAGGTGACAGAACTATTCAAATTATAAAGTTCAAGGAGAACCACTTGCAAAGCAATCATATATTTTGGATAGCAGAACAGAGTGCCATAGATCAAACAAAAACAATATAAGTATGACAATTTGATAAAAAGTAAAATCAACATAGAAACTCCAGAGTAATGCCGAAAGAAAAATCAAACAAAGTTCAAAAGCTACAAACATAATGAATCAAGGAATAGTACAACTTAATCCTAAAGAACTTGCACTGCTATTCGATGCATTAATTCAACGGACACAAATGCAGAAGTTTACACAATGAACCAGCATATAACAAGAAACAAACAGATATAATGGCAACAAACTTAAGACGAGTAACTAGCCAGTATATGGATTGTTCAAACTTATGCATACCTTCCATATCTCTCTATGACTCAGATGATTTTGATCTAGGTCAAAAATTTTAGCATAACCAACATTAGCCTGGGCAAAAACCCATAAATTTATCCCCCAGAGCCAAACCATCATAGTCTGCAATTTTACAAGAGAAATGATAAGAAAAGGACTTGACACATATCATAATTCTAAGTGTCCACAATTATACAACAAAATAAACTAAAAACTCAGTAATGTAGTTCACTGACCACAAGGAGAAGTGGATTATAATACAAGAAAGCCTCATATAAAAATAAATCCCGAAGGTCTGCACTCATTCTCATCACTGAATCCCATCCAATCTGCCAATAGCAGGGTAAACATAATCGTAAGTCAGCCGGTAACCCATATATACATAACTAGGTATCAGGACAAGATGTCAAACTGACCTTGCAACAACTGAATGCCCATACGAAAAACAATAGTACCTGTACATTAAGTTGTATAAATAATAAGAAGCTTGCTAAAAATTAAAATATCTGGACAACTGAATCCCCATATGAAAAAGGAAGTACCCGTACATTAAGTTAAGTGGAAAAAGTGAAGCTGGCTAAAAATATATAAGTTTAGATACAGAAGTCGGAACTCAATCCAAAGACATAAGAACAAAGCATATCAGAACAACCATAAACCACATATTCAATGAAGCGTGAAACTCCTATTCTCAGTAGGAAATGTTGGAGTTATTGCTATGAAGAATGCCGCCAGGTAAACTCTACAGAAAACTACCAAAGTAGGCTTAAATTTGAATCAAATATCCAGTCTACAACTACAAAAAGTGAAAACAATAGATGCCAGATGGATGACTACTGAAAGCTGGATGACAGAAATGATTATTTCAGTTCAGTACTTTAAATTTAAATTTAAATGTTTCAGAGTTCATTAAGTGAAATCATCATTCAGTCTGCCAATCAGATATCAACTCACAGCAATACCTTGAACCTCCATAGAAGAAGAGGAGAAGGCATAATTGCAGCACTGCTCAATGGTGAAACCCCACCCTTCATTTCATTTGACTCCTTAGAAAGCAGAAAATCTTCTTCAGAACTGTTTCCCAGATCACCTGTGACATTGCAGATCGTATTTCTAGTACCAAAAAAATGCCAACGTAACCATAGCACTAACACAATATCACATCCATAGCATACGTCACAAAGATAATAAAAGGTACTTGTGACATATATTCTCTTACCGATATCAAACACAACTGGTCGGCTTCCTGATTTGCGTAGATGAGGACTGTTATTGGGGATAGTCTCGAGACCTCCAAACATAGATGGAGACGATAAAGACACAGGGGTTTATACCGTCAAAAGTGTGCTAAAACCACTGCTGCAGGACAAATGAACAAACATCATGAAACTTTATGCATAGTTCAAAAATTCATATGGTACTTCCTCACTTGAACAATAAAAGTAAGCAAATTAAATTTCTACTTAGTAATTTTTTTTTTTTTTTTAAACAATACATAGGAATATATGTGAGTGAAATCCACGAAGTAACAATGTGGTATCTGTAGGAATCAACCACTGCACAAGGGGTCCACAACACACATCTGAAGAACTAAAAGCTAGTATATATTTAGAACACTTAATAAATAAAGGCTAGCTTTAAGTTAAGAGTGTGTGATGGAGAAATATAACAATCAGCACATTGGTTTATAAGAAGCATATCCACACTAAGAACATAATTTCAAACCTCTCCTCGGGCTGCTTATTCTCTTCTATTATATCTGCTCTTTACTGTTAATCCCATTTTTTTCTATCTTCTGCATGTACATTTGTGGCTTACATTCATTTTCCTAAAGTATTTTGTAGAGAGTACTGGAAATCTTTTCCCACAAATTTGCTATAAAAGGTTGCTGCAACAACATTGAATAAAACAAACACCATTATTAGTGTGATCAGAAGTAAAAGTGGCTTATTTTTCTAAATTCTCAGTTCCGTTTCTTGTCCTTATCGACACAGCGTTCACTACGCAGAGACAAACAAACAGCCACCACTAGCATCAATGACGTATTTGCCTAGCTTTCACAACACCATGTACCCATTTCCATATCCAATCTCCACACAGGATACCAACCAGTTTTTCACTTACAATCATGGCACAATATACACACATATCACACACTCCAGATCAAACAAAACAGCTCCCCACAACACCGAGAAATTCTCGATTAACGGAAACCCATTAACACAAATGACAACGTAATTCAAGTGAGAACCAAAACCAGACGAACACAGACAAATACAAAACAAAATAAAATAAAAAAACAAATGCAAAATGATTCACCTGTCCCAGCCCGATTGCACCTCCGGGCATCGACGGAGTTCCTTCAAATTCTCCACCGGCGGTGGAGAGGACTGTCGACAGCAAGATCCGATCCGGGCTTTTTCACACACGGGATTGGGATTGTGCTTTTGGCCCTAAATGTGGTGTGGGATTGAAGTAAAGTGAACCTTTATTGTGTGCCTTGAGAGGAAATCCCACGACGGTGACCATTGCAGGGAAAGAATGCTCTCTTTATACAGTGTTCAGAAATTATGAAACTTTTGCTATTGGGTACAGAAGTTTTTGAAAATATTGAAATAGGCCCAGGTTTTGGATATAAGATTTTTTTGAAAAAAAAAATAAAATGTATATTAGATGTGAAATGAAAAGATGGATGTTTTTATTTTCAGAAAAAAAGAAAATAGATGAATTTAAAAATATATAGTTAAAAATTAAAATTGATGCGATGTAAAATTATAAATTTTTTTTTTTTTTTGAAAAAATAAGAATATTGATTGAAAAACTGATGATTAGAAATATGTAAACTGATAGAATATTTTTTTTAGAGAAATACGTGATATAATTACTTTTTATTTTTTATATTATGTTAGTGAAATTGTATAGAAATTAAACAAGTGAGACAAAATGAATAGTGTTATTATGAGATTTTTTTTATTTAATTTATTGTTTAAATTAGCTAAATATGTTTGAAAATATATGACAACTAGGGGTGAACAATGGTGCGGTTCGGTGAAAAACCGCACTGAACCGCAAAAAAAAACCGAAAATAGCAAAAAAAAGCAATGTTCTCAAAATCAGACCGGTCATCGAACCGGTGAAACTACTGGTTCAATGGTTCACTGGTCGGACCAGTGGTCGAACCGGTCGAACCGGTTTAACTAATGTATAATTTATTTATTTATTTTATATGTATAATATATAATTATATATATATATATATATATTTAATTTTATAGCATATAATGACATTTTTCTAATTAAGATTTGATAAATCAATATTTCAAGTATAGTTTACCATAAACAATACTAAATAAAGAAGTCATCAAACATCAAAATATATCCAATCCAACATTATAATTCATCAAACTAAAAAATACTATCTCACTCTTATTTTTCTTTAATTTTTTTTTATTTCATAACTTTTTTTAAAAAAAATTTCAGAACCGGTTCGACCGGTCGAACCGGTACCGGTTCACCGGTTTTACCGATCATGAACCGGTTCGACCGGTTAGATACCGGTTATTGCTCCCAGCGGCCCAAACATGCAAACCGGACCGGTACTAGGTCCGGTTCTCGGTCCTTTGACCGGTCCGGTCCGGTTTTGATAACATTGAAAAAAAGTAATCGAACTGCACCGCAACTTAGAAAAAGCGAACCGAAACCGAACTAAATTTTTTTTGCACCAAAAAAACCGTATCGAATCGCACCAAAATGCATGGTTCGGTTTTATTCTCGGTTTTTTTATACATTTTATTTAATTTGGTGTGATTAGGTACAAAACCACACCGAACCGAACAAAACCGACAAACAATAACCGCACCGCACCGCAATATTAAAAAAACGAACCGAAACCGAACTCCGCGAAATTGCTCGATTTCGGTTCGATTGTCAGTTTCAGTTCGGTTTTGCTCACCCCTAATGCAACGGTTCATTAAATTTGGTCATGAGCTATTATTAAAATCAAATAATCAAAATCTTGTCATTTTATGATGGTCAAAAGCACTCAAATGACCATTGAAAAATGCATTTGCATGCTAAACAAGTACTTATATAAAGATATGACTGATGATTTTATTCAAAAGTTTTCCTTTAGACTTTGAAAAACATAACTGACGTGCGAATATTATCGACTATGAAAGATGCTAGTCGGTCTACAGAATAATAAATGATTTATTTTGTCATGTGCAGCTTGTATGTGTATATTATTATAACCAAAACTATTAAAAATCTAGTGTGCCTATAAGATAATTTATATGTAAAAAACTTGATCATGGTAGATTCACTCCAATCTCCATATAGTCACCGGTTTTAACCGTGAGATCAACACATAACCACATGGTCCACACACACGTGTCACGTGTGTGTGTGTGTGTGTGTGTGCGCGCGCGAAGTTCACCCTCGATCACAAAATATTTCGATAGCTAACTCTAATCAAGAAAATACTCGAGGCCTAGTAACTCTAATAGAGCTTCTGTTTGAGGGTTCCTCCAATGTCCTGCACGAAAGAAACAAATGGCCAAACGTTCAGATCAAATTAATACGAAGCAGAAGCTCCCTATAGTCCTCGTCACATTTTAAACCCGAAATATATATATATATATATATATATATATATATATATATATATACTAACTAATAAAAAAATATACGCAATTTCTTGATATCTAGCCGTGTCAAGACTCACCGGAAGGAAAATTGTTAGCCGCATGTTGAGAAGAATTATGGCATGGAGCAGTTGTAACAAACTCAAAAGGCTTGCTGCCTCGAGTTTGCAGCTTATCCTTCACAAACCGACGGCACTCTTCCATATTGAGCTTAGCATCACTAGAAAAACATTATGAAGTAATCATGGAGTAATAATGAAATGTTACTGTTTTAAGAGGAAAAAATCGGTACACAAACCTAAAATTTGGTCGTAATTTAGTCCGAGGGAAGATTGGGTTAAATTTCTTATAGTGATTGCAAGCCATTCCTCATCGTAATGGAGAACGTGAGGCCCGTTTTCTGATTCAATTTCGATGACCTATAAAATATTCAAGGGTTTACATAAGGAATAATCGGTTTATTAAACCTGTTTACCACAGAAAGTAGCTAGGACTAAGTAGCAACCTGCAAAAATTTATTTCCAGGGAGGCACTTATCGAGGGCAAGAAATTCCGTAACGGGCCCGATTTCTCCATGTTGAACGAGAGCCGAAAATTTGCAGTGTAAATGTGCCAAAAAATAGTATGATGGCCTCAACTTAGCCATAAGATCTCTTGCAGCTGGATTTCCCAATGTTCCTTTCTGAATCTGTATTAATTAATTGGCATCACTAATATTTTATATACATTTTCGCTAAAATACAAAATACAAACATCTAAACCCCTCAAAAATCAAAAGCATAACAAAAGTTATAAAATGTGGTACCTCTTGTTCAAAATGAGATTTTCGGCGTAAAAGATCTCGTGAGTTCCCATAATCAGTAATACCAAGAGGCCAATCGTGAGAAAGAAAAATATCGATTGGCTCCTGAACTTGCATCAGCTTATGAACATCATACTCACGAACATGATATATGGACACCATGTCTTTATTACCGTAAGGTAGCTTCTCATGGTGTCCTGTTCAAAATACAAAGGTATATTCAAAATGTTAAGGCAGCACAAAGAAAAACTACGGAAGATGATGAACACAGACTAAAGTACAATAATACTGTTCGATAAGTATTCAATTAGTACTGTTTGATAAGGTATCAATCAATACTACAATTACAAGAATAATAGTCATGTGCATTATAAATTCCAGAAAGTCCACCGATACGAACATTTCCAAACTTAACAACTCCTGCAAATCCGAGAAAGAAAATTTGTGGAGCAGCCCTCCCACCATAGTATCTACGAAAATAACAATATAATAAAAATTCGATAGTGAATCTATCTTCTCTTGCCATTTTAGCCCCAACATAATTAATAGTCTTCATTCAAATGAAACATATACATCTGTGTATATATTATATTTGCATGGTTTTCGCATTTCGAATAATAAGGTTATGTCTTGGAAGAAATGGCCAACTTGCGAGACCTTCCTTTTTTTTCTGTATAGAGACACTCATCCTTTAAGCCACGGGGATAGATATAATTGTTCTTTTTCATTACACTTTGAAGCAATAATATATGACAAAAAATGATGAAATTCACAATATAGTGAGAGAAAATCAAAGCTATCAACATTATATTATGGAAAAGGATAGACTCACAACTCCCAAAGATAGTTCGACGCTTCATGATTCCCCCCAATGAATAAAGTTGGAAATGGTGTAGCTTTCTCCCCTGAGTAATACTTCCAAAAGGAATTCATACTCCGATACTTGGGTGGTACATTTAGGCTCTCCAAATTTTTCACATTCCGAACAGCCTGATAGCTCCCAAATTAAGCAAGTAAATTAAGATTACTGAAAGAAATTCATCAAGAAAAAAATTCTCTACTGAACGTTCATGTTCATCAAGAAAAATTCTCTACTGAACGTTCATGTCCTATATTTCGATAGCTAACGCTAATCAAGAAAATACTCGAGGCCTAGTAACTCTAATAGAGCTTCTGTTTGAGGGTTCCTCCAACGTCCTGCACGAAAAAAAACAAAATGGACAAACGTTCGGATCAAATTAATACAAAGCAGAAGCTCTCTATAGTCCTCGTCACATTTTAAACCCGAAAAGAGAAAAAAATACTAACTAAAAAAAAATTATGTACGCAATTTGTTGATGACTAGCCGTGTCAAGACTCACCGGAAGGAAAATTGTTAGCCACATGTTGAGAAGAATTATGGCATGGAGCAGTTGTAACAAACTCAAAAGGCTTGCTGCCTCGAGTTTGCGGCTTATCCTTCACAAACCGACAGCACTCTTCCATATTGAGCTTAGCATCACTAGAAAAACATTATGAAGTAATCATGGAGTAATCTATCTATATATTAAAAGAATAACCTTTTTTAGGTTCCCGCCAAAATTTACCCGCGAGTTGTGTAGAAATTAAAATCACCTGCCCATTGGAACAGATTTATTGGAACAGATTTTGTAAAAAAATCTGCTCTTTGATTTTTTTTTTAAAACATATTTATTTTTCTTTTTCCTAAAAGATAGGTAACTCAATCGCCAATTGGAAGAGATCCTAAAAGATAGGTAACTCAATCGCGGAACAGATTTATTGGAACAGATTTTGTAAAAGGTAAACATAAAATACATCGTGTTCATTCAATTAATTAATTTAAAAAAAAATCTCATCTCTTATGCATCTACTCTAACATATTTTTCTAATCGTAACAATTTTTTTTTTAAAAAAAAAAATTAATTCACTCTAAAGTGTAATTGTTAATATAAATCTTGACCTACGGTCAGAATTTTTTAAAAAGTTAATTTTCTCCCATCTAAATCCTAAT